GATACTTTAGTATCCGACTAACGGTCATCCGGCATCGACTGACTGACCCACTGAGCGACGGTATTTAGTCACCTCCCACCCCACGAGGGCATTATGTGGCACAAGGCCGGTTTAACGTGTGATCTCCGAATATGCCCGTTGAACCCGTATAAACGGGTTCTGGGTCGGTTTACCTCCCCGAAACCTCGTTCGGGTTCCTCCCCGCCCGAAAGCAAGGAGTTCAACCGACCAGCCAGTCGACTGACTGACCAACTCACTGAGCGACTCTTACTACTCCTACTTATTATAGGTGGGAGAGTCTATTAACAATAGAATAGGTGTGTTCCACTATAACATTGAGACAGTAAGGACAGCATCAGACAGAAATAGATGAAGGGCATGGTGTCCAGAGCAACGCAAAATGCGCTAACCGAATAAAAAGTGCTACGAAAATAGATGGGAAACCATGTGGAATAGTCGGAATAAAGACATCTGCCTAAAGTTGAAATTACTACGAGCCACTGCTTTCGTCACCGCCAGCTCCGGATGCGAGTCATGGGCACTGACCAAGAGGGCAAGACACCGGAATAATGCTTTTGAGATGTGGGCATATCGCAGTGTCCTTAGCGTACCATGGACAGCGAGACGTACTAATAAATGGTTGCTTAATACCATCAGAACAAGGTATGTATTGAGAGAGCCGATGGCGCTAAGGAAGCTCCGTTAGTTTTGGGTGTACTGTGCGACGAGATGACTTCGATAAAGAAATTTTGTAGGATAACTCATGCCTTGGTTTGAGAATATTCAGAAGTGAAATGGAATTGTGATGACTGAGGCTGTAAGGGTAGCATCAGACATGAAGAGATGGAGGGGGGTAGTTACTACATTGGAATAAAATTGCGAGTCCCATGACAATAAAATATTCATAGAAATTCTCCAATCACATTGTTAAATATTTGAGCTTAACAACTTTAACAAAATATTGCAATGACATTCATAAATAAGAATGCCTGTCGTTATTTTAAGAAGTAAGGGGGTACAAATAAAAAGATTTGAAATTGAAAGCTTTTCCCATTACGTATGCATTTCTCGAGCAATTCGATGGCATTTAAATAAGAAAGGGTTTAAGAACTTGAAACGGCTGCAGAGGCTTCGCCTTCTTCTTTGCCGTAAAACCTCCCATTTACAATTTGCTCCCGATTATCAACCCTGGGATGTGGATAAATGGAAGAAAGTGTTGTTTTCAGACGAGAAAAAAATTGAATCTTGATGGCCCAGACGGTTTTCAGCGTTACTGGCATGCAAAAGATGTCCCAAAAGAAATTTTCTCAACACGACATAGTGGAGGCGGATCAATTATGGCCTGGGTTCATTTTTGTACAATAGAACTCTTGAGTTACAGGAGGTAAAAGGTCGTCAAACAGCTGCTAGTTACATTGACATGTTAAGAAAGGCATCGCTAATTAATAAAGGCCCTCATCTATGTGGAGAAAACTAGATTTTCTAGCAGGACAATGCTGCAATCCACAACGCACTCAAGATCGAAACCCAATCGAGAATGTTTGAGGATGGATGGCAAAGGAATAATAAACATGGACCTCAATTTGAAACTGTCGATGCCCTTCGTGCTGCAGTTTATGCATCCTGGGCAAGCATCCCAAGCACCCTTATGCAGAAGTTAATAATGAGTATGCCAAAGCGAATTTACGAAGTAATTCGCAAAAATGGAGGATATGCTGAGAATTAAATTGTCGTTGTGACTTATTTGTTTTGTTTTTGCTATTTTTATTTACATGGTCTTATCTTTTTGACCAACCAAAAAAATCCTTTTTTCAATGTTTGTTTAAATTAATCAATGAAAATCTTAAAATTTTCACTTGTTTGTTGATAAACTACATTTTCCTAATTAAATGTAAATGTTTCGGAAATATATTTTGATTAAATAACAGTATTTTATATTTGTTTTATATATATTCATTGAAAATATGGATTAAATCCGACAAAATGATTAAGGAACAAGTAGGAAAACTTTCATAAATTTGTGAAGTTTTGCCATTGATGAAGCTAAATCAAATAGCGAAACATGTCAAATTATAAAGACTTTCCCACATGTTCCATATTTAGTCATGTGTGTGTGTTTGTGTGTGGGTTTGCATGTGTGTGTATATGCGCGTGTTTGTTTCTCTGTGTGTGTATGGATAAGTATACTTACCTTAATACTTCCTTTAAAAGATGCTCCATAATTATAGGGAACCCCACCAATGAAGAAGCCCTTCACATTTCCCAAGAAGTGGGAATATGTCTGTCAAAAGAGAAAACCAGAGAATCATCAATAAAACTCGCTTTCTCAAAAAATTAATTTGAAAAACGCGAATTATTGGTAAATTTGATTATTATTACCAATTATTATTAAAGTATTAAACCACAATGGCTGTTGTCGAAGGAAGCAGTGAATTCGAGCATTTGTCCTTGCTTCTTATGCTTAAGAAAACGATTCGGTAATTAAAATTTTATAGACTGGAGTTATCTCCCCTGGACAGAATGTTTTTTTTCATTTTATACTTACCTAATTCGATACCCATCTCTTCACTGAAGGCAACATTTTTTTTTAAGATCATTTCAACCCAAGCAAGGCGGGATGCCACTAACACGCAAGGGGGTTACAAAGTGGGAGCGAGAGTAAAGAGGCGTGATGGAGGAAAGGATGAAGAGAAGGACAGGGAAATGGAAACTGTGGATGCTCTTCGTGTTGCAGTTTCTGCATCCTGGGCGAGCATCCCAAGCACTCCTCATGCAGAAGTTAATAATGATTATGCCAAAGCGAATTTTCGGAGTAATTCGCAAAAATGGAGGATATGCTGAGAATTAAATTGTCGTTGTGACTTATTTATTCTGTATTTGCTATTTTGTTTTACATGGTCTTATCCCAGACTGAGTGAGAGGGTAGGGCGTTATTTCTACAAAATTTAATTTCGGCAATATCGTTTTAAAAAGCAATGATTAGAACTGGAATAAAACCTAAACATATGATGAAAGTGAATTTATACATTTTCTTTGTTCTTTGAGAATTAACAACAAAAATATTAAACACTATTTATTTATTAGATTGTTTATTTACAAGAATTATTTTATATTTACAAGATTCTAAAAACTATTAAAATTAAAACTAATGCAGTACAATATTTATCAATTTATAAAGAAAGAAATATAAAAACAATTTTTATTCATAAATTTACAAACAAACAGTAAATTAAGGAAATCATTATTATTTACCATTTTATAATGTTCAAATCGATTGGTAATTAGCCGGTGTTTTGCCAAACATACCAAAAAAATTGTATAATAAATAATGTAAATAAACAAGCAAATAAATACTGTTTCTTATTTTTGTTGTCAATTCTGAAGAAGAAAGAAAATCTATAAATTCACTTTCATATATTTAGGCTTTATTTCAATTCTAATTATCACTTTAAAAAAAAGAAAAAAAAGAAAAAAATTATGAGGATTAAAGCTATTTAAAATAAAAGCGGTATTATGGGGAAAAATCCGCCCTTTTGACACTGTCTTAGCCGATTTCTTTTTGTAATCATTCAAAGTCAGAATTGTCTAGTTTAGATATAATTACATACAGCTGACTATCAGAGAAATATCTGAACAATTTTTCAATGTTTTGCATTAATGATAATAATAATAATAATAATAATAATAAAGGAATTCAGAAAATTTACTGTTTTCGCTTGTTTAAATAATTCGGTACTTGTTGATGTTGATAGTGGGAGAGAGATGTTTATTATTGCTATATACATTGATAATCACATCATATATATATATATATATATATATATATATATATATATATATATATATATATATATATATATATATATATATTGAGTGTATTTAGGCAGCATTTTTTAATTCATACATGTTTCATTAAATAATATAGACAAGTTTATTTTATGTAAATTCTTTTCATAACGTCTGATAAACTTAATAACATTATCATTAAACGAAGAAAGAAAATCACAATATTGGTCCACGTTTTTTAATCCAATCTAAGCTTTCGGCTTACATAAGCCATTATCAAAGATCTCAATTACTGTACAAAATATTAAGCAATATACGGACAAGACAATGATGATAGTCTGTTATTGTTTACATGGTTGATTTCCAAGCAACGATAAGGTTTCAACTGTTTGATATATATAGCTTCAAGGATTTTTAGTTTTTGTTTATTGTTTTCAAACCTAACCTAAACAAAATCAACTATGGAATCTCTACAAATATCCTTAAATATCTATAATTGGTAACAGAAGCCATTGGTTTATTGGCTTCCCATACTCAATACTTCTTAAAATCACTCTCACATGGTCATGTGTGACGTCATGAGCTGCGGTGCGATTTTCGCTTCTAGCGTCTTATATGCACGTGCTTATCGTTGTGATTTTCTTTCTTCGTTTAATGATAATGTTATTAAGCTTATCAGACGTTATGAAAAGAATTTACATAAAATAAATAGACAACACTTCTCTATATTATTTAATGAAACATATATGAATATGTGTGTGTGTGTGTGTGTATTGTTGTGGCGTTGTTAGGGCCAGAAATAAAGACACAAGAGAGGAATTGAGTTAAACAAATATATTAACAGAAACAGTAATTCAAACGAGAGTGTGACAGAAAAAATGTTTGGTCCGACTGTCAGAGCGACAGCGAGAAACTTCCTCTCCAAAAGGCAGTAACTGCTCCTATTTATAAATAGGAGAGTTCATAGGTTAATTACGATAATATATATATATATATATATATATATATATATATATATTACAGCAAAAAAATAAAAATTACCTCAACATAGAGATAGTCTATTTCAAGCGTTTCTGTACAGTCAAGACGCTACGCAAGAGTTAGGGCTCCTAACTACCAGTCGGAAACAGCAACCAGGAACTGTCAACCGTGTACCCTCAGAATGAAGAGGTGATGCCACAGACTGCCCACATCGCGGGAGAAACAGAGCTGCACTAATACAGAGGCCAGAGAGAGAGAGAGAGAGAGAGAGAGAGAGAGAGAGAGAGAGAGAGAGAGAGAGAGAGTGGGAACCCCTTCCTAAACAAGAAACAAGGTGTGGGCCTCTAAACTTGTCCAAGGGAAGGGGGAGGAGTACTGACCGGGTGATAGGAGAGCCTACCTACTCCTATTACATAAGACACGTACAACAACAACAGCAATAACAACAACAGAAAAGAGCAGACCGGGGGGGGGGTAGTTGACAAAATGTCCAGGCTGACACTAGGAGACGTATGTACTGGGGGAAAGGAATGTTATTTTATTTTTGATTGACACCTTCACTAAACTAAGTTTTAACTTATCCAGCCTTGTGGATATGTCATAAAACCTACTCACTTATGGCAGCAAGCAATCACGTTCGTCCGCTTTCATTCTCATGGTCACTAGCGAGAGTCACAGGCTACCTTTCACCAAGCTGCTTGTTTTAATGAACGCAGAGCAGGAGGAGGTTCCAAAGGGCATTCCTTCTCTCCAACATGGGCTTGGGTACTTGCTTACAATAGAATTAAAAACAACGGGAGAGAGAGAGAGAGAGAGAGAGAGAGAGAGAGAGAGAGAGAGAGAGAGAGAGAGAGACGGCTAAACGATTCCACGTTGGGTTTTTATATCTAGCAAGATTTTCGGCCAACTAGAACATAAGAATACTGGCGAAGTGACTTTCACTCGCTATCAAAGAGAGAGAAACTACATGTATTGATAATTATCTGTGTTTATTGATACTTACCATTCGATTGGACCAGATCTTGCCATTTACCATTAGCGTTATCATACGGCCATTGTTCATAACTGCCACTGCATGCCATTTATTTAGGTCCGCATGATCGTTGAACCCCGACAAGGAGACAGTGCACTGATCTTTTCTCATCGTCGCGTAGTAAATCTGGAAGCGACCGTACTGAAAACCAATTCCAAAATCGCGACAGTCCGATATACTCCCAACAATCAGCTAAAGAAAGAAACCAAAAGAAAAAAAAAATCATATTGGCATTATTAACAACAATTGTCGAGCTTTTTTTAAGTATGCCTTGTACTAACTTCTGTGGAAAATTTAGATATAAATAGTCTGTATGCTTATAGAACTATTTAAACATTAGAAAATATTTTATACTAGCATAAAAGCAGGTGCGGGCCTTTATGGTAGCACCTGCCCTGAATTCTGCAAGATGTTTTCCATTCTTCCGAGGTAGAATCTTGGGCACCAAATGAGGTCATTGCAAAAAGTTATTGCTACTTCTGATATGATAAATGAAATGTTTTGATTCAGCTGAGTTCCCATCCAAAAGTGATAACAATGGCTCTGAAGGAACTGCTAGATCATCTAGCTGTATTTTTCCTTGGTTACAGCAGATCCCATCTGGTTCATTCTTGAATCAGAGAGAATTACAATGTTTACACTGAATGATTATTGGTCCAATTGGTATCTTTGGAATATTTGAATAGTCTGATTAAAGACATAATGTTTGGATGCAACTAAAGATACAGATAGGAATATTGTCCATACGTTTGTGGACTTTTCTTTGGAAAAACGTCATTTAGGATATGAAGCGAGGTATTTCATAAAGCGAGGTGTCATAAAACAAAGTTTCGTAAAGAGGTTTTACCTGTCAATATGTGAGACTCACCCTGTTTTTGGAGTCTTGAAAAGTTGGCTTAACCCAAGCCAGAATTGTGTAGAGAGGGCCAGGACTCCATCTTCCCAAATCAATATAACCTGACCGTCCATTGAAGCTAGTTGCACAGGCAAAAGGAGGTCCGACCTTCAAATAAAGAAATAAAGAGCATCTAAGTTTTTTTTACATGAAATTTAATCCTGAAAGAAATCTAGATTTAATTTGAAAACAGAAAACGGATATTTACGAGTTCGGTTTGGACAATATTTTGAAGATTTCGAAAATCGGTTGCGTCGCCTTGATGCAACAAAGGTTAGCTTACTGGATATGTGTGAACGGATACTTGTGTGGGGTTGGGTTGCTTAGTCGCTAGTGAGATGTTATCGATAAACTTGTGTCTGATTGCATTCTCGTAGCTGGCATTTTTTGTAAAAACGCTGCATCACCCATGTCTGACAGAAAGCTTAGTCCAGATACGTCTCCTTGCTTTTTCTGACATTTCCCAAGGCTAAAATCACAGTTGAGAGGGAAAACACACGGCTAGGAATAAGGAGAACGTCATTTGGTAGCTGATGGCAATCCCGAAAGAGCATTTCGAGAAGAACCGAGGGATGATGTGATAAGCGGATAATCTCCCACGGTAAATACTTTGAAGGGATGTTGCCATTTCTCTCGGTAGAATAATTGTTTAATTTTTTTTTATTTAATAACTAGCAGTAGAGCCCGGCATTGCACGGGGATGTAACAGTAAGAGATAGATCAAGTATCGACAATCATAAAGACTGAAAAATAAAATTGACAAATATTATTGTTTAAGGTTGACGGACACGCATGTCTTAATTAGTTTTTTTTTTACGAATTGGTCAAATCCAAACTCAAATTGTTTTCAATCGTTATGAGTCTATCGATTGAATAGAATTTTATTATAAACAATTGTCTTGTAAATGGAATTTTTAAAGCATTCTGAATGTAAAAATAAAGAAAAAAGTGTGCAAGACAATAAGAAACACTACCTGCCCACCAAAAGTGAAGTTTTGTTGAAATCGGTTGAAAAATGTAGGAAATCCGATCCCATATATAAATGAACACACACAGACACAAACAACCTGGGTTTTATAATAAGTATCGAAATGAGTTGTCCCCCTTTCATTCTGGCGACAGAATTGTGTTTTATCGTTTTCAAATTGATTTCATGAAAAAACAATTGTGTTTTTCCAATTGTGGGCGCTGTCAGAACCACTGCAAGGTAATTTTACTCAGTATTGTGAAGTTTTGTTGAAATCGGTTGAAAAATATAGGAAATCCGATCCAATATATAAACGTACACACACACACACACACACACACACACACACACACACACACACACACACACACAATCTGCGTTTTATAATAAGTAAGATTTCACCCCAAACAAGGAGTGAATGCTACTAGTACGCAGGAGGTTACAGGGGATGAAAGTGAGAGAAAAGAGTATGGGGAGGATTGAGGAAAGGACAAATGATGAACGGGATTCAAGAAAATAAAAGATTGCATTTAAATTTCTGAAAATTGTAGTTATCAGGGAAGCAAAGAAACGGAAGGGGGGGGGGAGTGCGAGAAAAGACACTGTTAGAGTTAAAGTGGCAGTTGCATTTAGCTATTTCAACAATAAAACAAGATGCCAATCTTAAATTCATGTATTCGGGTACCAGGGGAAAAGCTTGTCAGAGCAGTAGCCATAAAAATATTTGTAGAAAAGACAGAGAGAAGCTACGTCACGTCGGTGAGAAAGTGACTGGAGTCAAGATATCCGTCCAGGATCGATTACATTTGTTATACTGGAACACACCTATTCTATAGTTAATAGACTCTCCCACCTATAATAAGTAGTAGTAGTAGTAATATTCGCTCAGTGAGTTGGTCAGTCAGTCGATGTCGGACGACCGTTAGTCGGATATTAAAGTATCAGCGACCACGACTAGATTTCTCTGCGTCATTACCTATTATATCAAGTTCCTAACGTTTTGTACGTCGAACCTATTTTAGGACCGACTTAGTACAACTACAAGCCTCCACTGTGAAACTACAACAGCATTACAAATCCATCTTTGGATTTTGTCAAGAATCTCTAGATGTACAGCATGATCCCTAAACCAGATATGGCAAAAGTATTCATTGAACGGATGATTGTTAGATTTGTAAATGTGCACGATAGATTCAGACGAGAAAAATCTTCTGGTGCAACACAGGAGCCCAGCTATCTTAGCAGTAGATGCAGCTATTGATTCGATATAGTCGCTCCACTTCAAGTCAGTGGAAAAAGTGATTTCAAGAAAGCACAATGTGTTTTCTTGGAGTGTAGTGTCAGCCATGTTGATGGCACGTAGAAATGGTTCTCTGTGGTGGTTGGAGAGATCATTGATGAAGATCAGAAATAGAGTAGGACCCAGGATAAAGCCTTGGGGGACATCCGTGTGGCATTGTTATATCCATGATATAACAACACCGTATTTCACAAACGGAATAGCTGGAAGGAAAAACGATGATAAATATGCTGCAAACATTGTTTTTCCTTTCAGAGAGATTTTTATACCACTAAGGCACACACAAAACTATATAGACATATATACACATGTCCCTCGCGCAGAAAATAACATATATCTACGCAACATAGAACGGAATAGACTATTATTTATGAGGTATTAGCATGAGACGTTAAACACTTCTATCTTTATTTTTCCTCTGATCAGTCTTTTGTCTTTCCATGCGATTATTATTTATGAGATATTGGCAAGGCGTAACGGTCGTGCGAACCAACGAAATTCGAGACGGGCATAATTATAGGGAAATCATTATGAAAGCGTTCAGTTAAGAGACGTTACCTTGTTATCCGATATACATCGTGAGAAGGTTTGTCCTTGATATTTGAATGGGAAGAGACATCTGTCGCCGGCTTCGTCGCCGCCGATGGTACTGACAACAACCTGAGGTACAGATCTGCAAATACCTGAAATAATTTTCGTTGAAGAGATTCATTTATTTTTAAAATGTTTAATACATGTAAAATGGAAATATTTTTAATATAACAATGGATTTAATTAGGTACCTCCACAGATTCGTGATACTTAAAGTTTAAAATGACTTTTTAACAATTAAAAATCTTTCTTGAAGTTTTAGTTTTAATTTCAAGTTAATAGATAAAATTTAATATTTTCAATAAGCAAAATATTTTCCTCTATTTCAATACTAATTTAAATTCAATGAAAGGAGTTCTTTTTTTTTCAAAAGAATATGATTTTAGCGCCATTTTTAGCCCGCGTTCATTGCAGTGCAATTCGTTTTATTAAAAAATCTTCCAAAAATAAATTATATTTTTCTGAAATATTATTTGAGGAATATTAGCGGATTTAAAGTACAATTAATCTGATTTGAAACAAATATTATTTACTTTAGGGTTAAAATATCACAGAAATGCATTTTGTAACACATCGGTAGCTGTTTATTTCATCTGTTGACGTGGAATGAAAGCTTCATGACAGATTAATGTTTTTCTACTGTTGTTCTACGGGGCTTTTTCCGTAAAAACATAATTGAATATAATGTGAGCTCCTTTTATATATAATTGTTAATTACTCTGTAATCTTAAAAATCTAGGAAAATATTCTCCGTAATCTTATTAGATTTTAGGAATTTTAGCTTTAAATTTACGATAGTCATCGCTCATATTTTCTGATAATGTCGTGTATGGGCTCCCATATTTACAAAAATCTGAACGTTTATACACAAACAAAAAAATCAAAATTCTTTTAAAAATATTGGTTTTTGATGATGTGTATTAAACTTTTTTTATTTATGATTAGTAAATATAGTTTTTACTTAATAACATCCTGTAAAAAGCGAAATAAATACAGAATTTTAAAAGATTTGAAAATTAAATTATTGATTTAAATTATTCTAACTAAAATGAAAAAATGAAAATTCTTTTTT